ACACACACACACACACACACACACACACACACACACACCACGCGCGCACGCCGGTGAACGATCGAGGGTCGCGCTGCTCCATCGTCGAGAGACGAGTGCATACAGCTGCTGATCTGCTGCTGCGTATTCTCCCGTGTCTTACGTTGGGCTTACGTTTACAGTCGGAAGTAGTTCTATAGCGACGGGTTGATAATGCCACGTGAACTAAAATTGGCCTCCGCTGATGAAATGTTATTACGCGCAGCCAAGCCCCGGTAAAATGTTTCAGTCGTAATGAATAAAACTTTTCTATACGCAATTAATCCGTAACTCTGGAATACACCGAATGCCGTCGAAGCACGAGTACAAGATATCCTGTTTAATATCATGTAGTACCGGTAAAATCCGCAACCGACCTGTTTACGGGTTAGCTTACAGAGTTAGAAGAACCCGCCGCTGATCTATAGTTCGAACCATGAGTGGAAACTAGTACAGTCAACTCTGTATTAGCGGTTACTTAAACAGAACGGACACCTGTTGAAAGCGGCCATGAAGATATTTTTCATTAATAAGAATTTTGGATTATACGGCTGTATTCAATTAAATCTTGTTAATTGAAGACTCTTATATCATCGGCTGATTTACCGTCTTAGATAATTAACTGTTACTGCAACTATTTTGGTTTAGTCTAACTACTTATTATACCTATAACATCATGCCACCTAACTCTAATCTAGTATAAAGGAAGTAATTACACAATGTTGAGAAATGTGTAGAAATCAGTGAAATATGATGAAATAAGAAGAATCGGTGAACGTAACGAAACACGGCGTAAAATAACGTTACGTGCCGTAAATAATTGTCGTAACATAATTAAGCGAGGCTATCATTACGATCAGGAGTGAATAAAAAACAAAGTTTGTTTTAGTACCTTTGCTGTTTTCCTTCAGCTATATACAGATTTGACGGTGTCATTGCCAACTTTATAGCTGAACAACAACGGCTAGTATAGGTACACCGCCGATTTTTCATGCCGCATTGCAGCGGACTTCCCACTAGAGCCGGTCCACGTCAATATTTCACACGTGTTTGTTTACGTAATGGTCAGATTCGTGAATTTATCGCAGCTATCGAGTCGGATTATGAGCATGCTGTGAACGCAATCGCTGGTTTAACACGCCTATTCATTAGTTCACACAAACCGTAAATTGCACCGCGCGCACTCTCGCAGCTGCGCGACTGGCAGCTGGCTGCAAAATTTACAGCGGATATGTGGTACACTTTAACGGTATTATTTTCAATTTTAGACAGTTCAACGACGCAGACATTTCAAGCGTACGACGTAGAGTCGGTAAACATTTTCTGTAGGTATGTGTGCATGTATGTATTTGCACTCTTTAATATCTTTACTATTCACTATTTGTTTTCCAACCAAACTACTCTCTCCCACTGACGTATTTCACATTTTCGGCCATCTCCAGCGGAAACAAAATTAATTGAAAAACAACTAATGCTAGTATTATTATATCACCTTGCCTTGTGTTGACATTACTGGCGTACACATCCGTCTTTTCTTACTATTAGTGCGTACTTAAATATGACGCTCGCCTACGAATCTCGCTAATTGGGCAAAACTGCCAGCGCCTATAATCACGTGCCGTCTGATTAGTGTAATTCTATGTGATTATGACAAATCAGCCTGCCTGCGTCGGCATGCCGACGACGCAATATATGTGTAATAAACAGATCTACGCGCGTAGGCGGGCGCGTATCTGTGGGAGGGGAGAGGGGCGAACAGTTGAACAGCGGATTAAAGATATAAGATATGCGACAAACAACGCGACTCCGCTCGACGAAAACAGGTCTCTCTTGAGCTATAGTGTAATCTGTACAACAGCCATCGCCTCCCCCATAGCTTTCCAGCTTCTTTTATAACCTCCACCATGCCTTCCTTATAGCCTTCCCTATCGCTTTCCTATTGCCTCACTCATCTTTTCCTCTATTACCTCCCCCCCAGCCTCCCCCATCGCCTCCCCCATCGCCTCTTACACAACCTCCCCCATAGCCTCCCACATAGCCTCCTCCATGGTTTCATCCATGCTCTCGTCATGCTATCGCCTCGTCGCCTTCGGAGGTCGTTACGATAGACAGAGTGCAAACATAGCACGCGCCGCCGACTAACTCCTAAAATTAGACGCGCCTTCTGGGACGTCAGACAAGCGAGCGCCGGAGAGACGTTATCTATAGCGACGACGCCGTGTTTCATTGCCTCACATAACATTCGTTAGCATCGCCTACAGCAGCAGCAGAGGCAGTAGCTACATCAGCTAAAATAACAATTACATATATATATATATATATATATATATCGGTCCGTTTCCTTGCTCTGCAGGAGTTCCCGACGGCTGAGTGGGATGCGGAGATACACTGGGCCGACGGCTTCCTTCTAGCCTTCTCCGTCACCGACAAGGAGTCCTTCGGGCAGATCGCCAAGATACGCGACTACATCGCCGTCGCGCGCGACGACGACAACCCGCCGATCGTCCTCGTCGCCAACAAGGTCGACCTCGTGCACATGCGCGTCGTCTCGCCGCAAGACGTCGCCTCGCTGGCGCTGCGCATGCGCTGTCTGTGCCGCGAGGTGGCGGCCAGCGAGGACATCGACCGCGTGCGTGATGTGTTCGCCGATCTGTTTCGAGCTGTTCGACTCAAGCATAAGCAGGGCAGACGTAAAGGCAGCGACGGCCTGCTCATGCATAAGGAGCGCTCGCGGTTGCGCATGGCCTTCAACTTGTTCGTCAAGGACAAGAACACGGGTGACGGAGGCGACTCGCGCAGGGGAGAGGAAGACTTCGGTCACTTGCTAGCGAGAGATCGGACGTACACGATGTGAAAGCCGACCGCGAGGGGGCGGTATCGTCAGTGACTTCTGTGGCCCGTATGTCATTACATTACGAGGGGTCATCACTATATTATGGGGAATCGACCCTGTGTCACTGGGGATTATTCCCATATTACGGGGGTCGCGAAGAAAATACTTAGCATTGTCTTCAATGTGTAATGCAACATTGCAAGCACTTTCGCCGTTTCAATGATAAAATGGTGAATAAATACAAATTATATTTACTACCAGTCTTTGTTTGTGTACTACCTGTTGTCTAATAATTCCACGTAAATGCTTTAAAAATGCTCCCCCGCAACACACAATATCACCGCACGCACGAAAGAGGAGTATTTAAGCGATATTTATGGGGAATTCTTTCTAATAATAAGCAAAAGAGAGACAGAGCGTGAGAGAGTAGATAAACATGATATGTATGTATGGTAGTAAATACAATTCGTGTTTATTTACTATCCTGTTATTATTTACACGGCCCAGGACATGCCTGTGTAAAACATATACTAACAAAAAACTCATGTACTCTTTATTAATAGGAATGATCCCTTCTTTGTAAAGTTATACATATGCGTAACACAGAATTTTAAGTCCGCTCAATGGTTACTGTATGTATTGATGCTTTTTCTGCTTTACGAACCATTTTTTGTAAAAAATATTCCATGCTACTCCAATGTCATACTATGGTGTAATGAGCCTGATGAACCGGCTGGAGTAATAAGCTTGAAAACAGTCTTTAAAAATTGAAAACACCTTAATCCTACGAATTCACCGTAAGTGGTTACATGTGTGCGTGTGTGCGCGAGCCCGGCGCGGGTGCGTGTAAATATATTATAGCAATGTATAAATATAATTGCCGCCATTTATTAGACTGAGAGTAATCATCATTTTAGTGTTATATATTTGCAATCACTTACAAAATAAATATAAATTACACACGGTTACATTGGCACCGTCTAAAAGGTTTCATCTCTACAATCTGTTCCTCGGATTGAAACGTCTCATAATGTAAACCCACATATTGTGTAACATAGTAGCGTTGTAGTAGTGTAGTGTGGTATAGAGTACGTATTACGATGTCTACATCGAATCAACCGGCTAGTGAAACCAGGCTCATAAAATCTATTCCTGTTCTAATGAGGAGTGAGTGACGAGTGAGGGCAAACTCAGTCGTTTTTGTAACTTACTGCATCGGAACACAGATCGGAATGTTTACCACTTGTCTTCACCCTTGTATCTAAAATTTGCACTTTTTTGGGGAGGTGGGCCCATCTTCCACATCTAAAGACAGCTACGTCTCTAGCATTTACCCAAGTAGTACAAGAAACTCAACTATGTTCTTCGGATTTGAGTTCTGCTCACTGACCATGTCATCTGATTTGTAGAGTTCATATCATCTATTCACACATCTTCTGTGATAGAATGGGACATGGGTTAGAACTACTAACCGACAGAAGGTGCTTTTAAAATATCACTTTATTACACTAAATTAAACTAGTAATCACAATTTGTTTCTAATTTTTACATCAGATATACATACGGCCAATAGATCACACACTGTCTCTGTGTTTCTCATAGTAATATAGAAGTATCTGTAGTAAAAGTACTATATAAAAAAATTCTTGATGTGATCACGAAAACAAATCTGTATGCAAATGTTCACTAACCTGTAATTTTTGTTAAACACACATGAAAATAAAAGGCAGATTGCATGTATAGACTACCGTGACAGAAACCGACAACAAACGCAGTCTGGTACGATGATGACTGTAGCTGTAGTTTTATTGCTGCAATACGTAACCTTGTATATAAATTATGCACTGCAACCAGCAGGAGAGCACAAAAACTAGAATTCCTTAACACATCATATTACTTGATTGGTAATTGATACACATCATATTTACTCCCCACCGACTGCGATGTAAGTCTGCGGCTACACACACGTGCAGTGGAAAAACTTTAAAACCAATCCAACCTAAAAAACAGAGAGAATGTTCGAGCAGACGTTTGACCCATGAAATTGGCATGCGACAACTCGATACTTCTATCACGTTATACTCATCTTGTCAACTGCTCACGTATGTACTTCATTACTGGCACGTGCTGACACCTGTGCCGACTGCATTGGTATCATCTACATTTCTTGCAGTTTTCTTTGCTGCCACCATTACTGGCTATCGTTCGTTGCACCCTCGACATTTCCTGTAGTTTTACTAGCCACATCATCTGTGGTGCTGCCACCTGTACTGGCTGTTGTAGCGCCATCTGCATTTCCTGTAGTTGTACGAGCCACATCATCTGTGGTGCTGCCACCTGTACTGGCTGTTGTAGCGCCATCTACATTTCCTGCAGGCGTAGAATCTACATCGTCCATGGTGCTGTCACTGGTGCACTGTGGCAAAGTGCGAACTTCCTTGTCAGGAGTAACGTCACGTGGCTTAACATCAGTAGAGCCACCTTCAGCATTGACTGGAGCAGCAGCAGCAGCTGCTGCTGCACTGGCTACCGCAGGGACGCTTGTTGCAACTACGCCAGCACCATCTATGTTTTCCACGTTGGTCGCAGCATCTGCGTCGGTGTCGTGCGCATTTACCGATGACGCGTCAGAGACAGGCTGATGCGATCCTCTCTCGAACAGGAGCACCAGCTCGACGTGATTTGTGTGCGGGAAAAGGTCAACAGGTGTCGCCACGATCGGTCGAAACGGCTCGCCACGAAACTTATTGGAGGCAGGTCGCACGAGACTGCAACATTGCAAAAACACGAAAGTATTTGTAAAATAATGGTAAAAATACGATCGGAAATTGGTGACGCTCATAGAGATGTCAGAGGGCCCTGTAATGAATAATCGAATACTGTTCAAAAAGATAATAGAACAATGTACAATTATTTATTCATCTTACAATGGCCCACTTGAGCACATGCACTGACTCGCATATCGCACTTGACACAATGCCAATGCACTGGAGAATATTGGACAAACTCGTGCCGCACTTACTCGAGAAAGTTGTGCTTTGCCAGCTGTGCATTGCAGGAGACATAGATGAGTCTGTTGATCTGTTTGCACCTGCGGATTGCTTGTATCACCTTCACACCTGCAAGACAGCTTGAAGGTTAAAGTGCGGCAATGACAGTGAGGGAGATACTCACACAAACAGTAAAGGAAACACTAGCACAGATAGTCTAGCAAGATGCCAGCACATGCAGTGAGCGAGATTTCTGTAAAGACAGACAGACGTGTATACAAGCAGATATGCATATATCTGAGCAGAGATAAAACTGACTTTGAGGACAGCAATCAGGTGCAGATGAGCTGAGGTAGACAAGAAGCCAGGCAGACATGTAAAAACACACAGGAGGCTTACACCTCACACAAAGCACTCACGCACGCACGCACGCACACACGCACACACATACACACACAGCCATGCGCACAGGCATGTGCACGCATGTAACTGGTAGGCAGCGACAGATATAAGAAGCCGCATGCTGACGTGTACAGGCAGACACAGTCATATATATCTGCAAGGCACACACAGACATATATGCATGCAGAGATGTAGATAAAGAGATGCAGAGACAGATATATTTATGCATGCACAAGCAGAGGAGGCAGAGACCCACACGCACGCATGACAGATGCCTCATAGTGTGAAGAAAGATATGAAAACTCACTGCATCCGGCTCGGGGTGGATCCAATATGGCTACCACGTCCTTACAGTAGTACGGCGACAACTTGCCAACAAGCTCCGGGACCTCTTGCATTGCATCGCCACAGATGTACTCAATATTGCTGATGCCTGTAATCAGATGTATGCAACACATGATATCAAGTTATCAACATTCAACGTAGCACGACTCAGGGATTCATGTCCCGTCATCACAAGCATGACCTGCTAGTTTGAGGAAGGACGAAGACTGGAATTTAGCTATGTCCAGACACTCCCAGTCTAGCATTTACAGGTGCTGTGGGTATACGTATTACCAGCAGACCATATGCGTGACAGTGAGCTGTATGTGCAGGCAAAGTGCAGCCAAATATATCAGCATATCCTATGAGTTAACCTCATCAAAAGGACATGCAAGCCCTGTCAATCTCCAGTGGGTGGGGATCAGGGCCAAACTGTGAGTGCCTTAAATCACTTAAAAGCCAGAGTTTGTTCCTTTAATATGCAGCTCAGTTAGCACACTGCTTTTACATGCTTTCCACGGTGGACGTGTCATTGCAAGAGGAGCAAATCAATGTCTAATTATGTTAGTATCTATGCGGATTTACCGTTGACTTTTGCATTGTATCGTGCGTCGTCCACCGCCTCCTGTATCAGCTCAAACCCATACACCTTCTTCACTTGCTAAACGTGAAATAAAAAATCGAAATAAAATGCAGCACACACATATAAATGATTTCTATTTATTTCACCTGTCAATTCATTACAGCTTGTACTACATTTCTGTGGCAATTGAAACCATGCCTATCCCAGTTTTATCCTCTTTCTTTGCCATGTACACTCACATCTGTTGTAATGGTTACTCAAAAGAAAAACTACCTAGTGTCCTTTATAAGTAAGTTTTTTAAAGGTGTTTGTTCTATATAGGCGGCATTATTGTATACCCGCCACTCACGAGGCTTTTAATCAGTGCCGTATAGACAATTAGTACGTGACCATTCTATAAAGGTGATTTCACTGTGTAACTGCCACAGCGAAATGCCAAGTGCCCTTTATAGACAGGTGTCCATTTTGCAGAGGGAGCGGACACTAAAACATATTTAGCAAGCTTCGGCGATTGTCATGCACATCATCCAGATACCCAAATCAGTGCCGTATAGACAATTAGTACGTGTCCATTTTATAAAGGTGATTTCACTGTGTAACTGCCACAGCGAAATGTCAAGTGCCCTTTATAGACAGGTGTCCATTTTGCAGAGGGAGCGGACACTAAAACATATTTAGCAAGCTTCGGCGATTGTCATGCACATCATCCAGATACCCAAATCAGTGCCGTATAGACAATTAGTACGTGACCATTCTATAAAGGTGATTTCACTGTGTAACTGCCACAGCGAAATGCCAAGTGCCCTTTATAGACAGGTGTCCATTTTGCAGAGGGAACGAACACTAAAACATATTTAGCAAGCTTCTGCGATTGTCATGCACATCATCCAGATACCCAAATCTCGTCAGAATTGCCATTGCATTCCTACTGAATTTCTGCAACCAACCTTTGCGAGCGTCTGACCAATGGTTCCAGTTCCACAGCAGATGTCCAGCAGGACCGTGTCTTCGTTCAGCTTGCAGACGTCGCCTACAACTGAATAAAGAACCTCGGTGGCAAGGGTGTTCACTTGGAAGAACGAGCTGGGGGAGATACGGAACCCAAGTCCCAGCAGACGCTCCGTGATAGCCTGCAAGTAAAGCGCATTGATCACAGACTTGTCGGTCGGTCTGCCGCTATGAGAGAATGACAAGCTTATCAGTCGATGCCATTGAGATGTAAGGTTGACAATGAACAGTTAGCAGTTATCACTAAACTGCATCAGGGTGTGAAATCGAGATTGAGAAAATGGAAAACGGAAATGGATATTGAATGAAACCAGAAACATAATTAAAGTCAATAAATAGACACTACAAATTACTAAAAATGATTACATTACTGATACGATTAAAGAACATTCAATCCAACCATATCACATGTTGTGAGGTTAGAAGATACAGAAAGGCGAGCAGAAAACATCCCATTGTAGATATCTGCCCATTTTTACATTTACTAACTAATCTGTTAGGAATCTATTATCACCAAATAATCACCATTTTCAGAGAGCCCAAGTCCGAAATTTGAAGTACACACAGTAGTACGTATTACCCTTGTTTTAAAAGCTAGTATAGAACACCGACTTTGAAACCAAACCTCACATCGACAATACAGATCTATGTGATACGATGTCCTTACGTACATACCTTTTCCCCCATAATGTGCTGCCATTGCAGATCTGAAGATGAGCCAGTCTGCCTAGGAACAACAACGATAGTTAACCCCATGTAGAGATGGTAGTCTTATTTTATGCTCCATATGACTGTTAACGTTTAATGCTTATATTTTGCCTTTAAAATTTTCGTATTATTGAGTTTTTGTATTGCCTACTTTCATGTATGAAATGGCAGGATTGAACTTATATACACACAAATAAATGTACTTAATTTAAAATAACTTGCAGTTATTTATTTCAACAAAATTTAACAGTGGCAAAACATAATCTGAATACCATTCTAAACAATCAAAAATCAACATCCTAAAATCTCGACTAGATATCAACCCTCGGAGTGATTATATTTTTGCATGGAAATAGGTTCTGAATGTAAACAAGCGTTTGCATCTTACTTCCTGATTGTAAATGTAATGTACAGCGAAGTCACATTCACTGCAGCTCCTGGACCGGTCGTAAAGAATTCCTTCAGTGCTGCCATCTCTTGCTGAGTTTCAGAATCAGTTAGGGTTTGGCGACGCATGCAGAACCCTAGCTGCCATCACAACAGAAGAATTCTGAAATGACTGCATCATCTTACGACCTTCCAACCATTAAATGATCTAACGTTTGAGGTCACGGGCATTTCAGGGATCGGTGGCAAAGCGAAACAGGTAGTAGGCAAAAACTTTGCGCAGTGCATTTGCTTCATACATAATATAATGACTCAGGTGTACTGGACTCATTCAAAACTAAAACAAAAATATCAAAATGAAACAAGATATGGGTTCAGCACCCACTACAGTACAGTTCAACTCTCTGTCCGTACACTCGTCAGTTTGGAGGCAGGCTGAATCACGCGTTGATCAGCCTGCTGAACTCAAGTTTTGACTGGGTAATCCTCTACGCCTGATCCGTAGTGATTCCTAATAGATTACCAATTTTTACTACTCACCATCACTTCCTTGCTCTCGGTGGTGCGACACAGGACACTCTCCCAATAACCACTGTGAGTCTGAGAGTCAAACACTTCATATGTTGATGCTCTGACATACTGCTCTATCACCTGTGCATGATATACATAAAAACAAGAGCGTATTAAGTATACCTTAATACTTAATATATACACGCCATACTTAATACGCTCTTGATAAAAATATAGGGTGTTTTAGGAAATGTAGTGCTAGATGCCATCTCCCGCTAAACCTAATGTGCTTATACTATTTTCCATATCAAAGATAACCTTCAGCCTAACTGGAAATTAACCCCATCGTATAACACAAGCACCAACGACCAAGGAATACGATACAACCACATTTATACACTAGTGAGAGCATTGTTATATATAACAAGCCAATTGCGCACAGCAACTTTTGAGCATTACAAATTGAAGCTAGTCTTCCTGTATTACCACGTAAACAGCACAAGCAGCATTAACGGCAGTTATAATCACGTGTTTAGCACAAGATAGCAATGCGACACATCTGACGCATTTCGTCGCCACGAATACTTCACATGACAGAGAGAAGAAGGTTGCTCACCCGCACTACGTTCTTCACGTAATCCGGAACGACGTCGATGCCGTACGGTTCGACGACGCCGGTCGAGCCCGCCTCGTAGCGTCCGACGCGGAAGCCGACCGTGCGAACGCGAGTGTCCGGCCGCAGACCGCAGCTGAAGCTCAGCTTGTTACGAGATCCCTCTATCCTGGGCTGCAGTAAGCACACTTACAAGATATATGTGTGTATAATATATATATATATATGCATGTGTGTGTGCGTGCGTGCGTTGTGTGTGCGCGCATGTGCATGCGTATGTGTGCGCTCACGTGCGTGCATGTGTACATATATAAATGGCTTGCCCCAGGAATTTCAGAAGGTATGCTGGGCAAACATGCAATTCATCCCCGATGATTACTAATTGGAGTCAATTATGCATGTCGTAAGTGGCCCCAATATGCAGATAAACTCGATCGGTACGGAGACGTATATATCAAGCTGTAAACAACACAATGTGATCACGTTGGGATTGTCAAATGTAGACACAGCTGGGAATTAAGGCTTCGGGGCATGTCAATTGGGCAATTAATGAATGTTGAAGGAGTTATGGGACGTTTCATATGAGCTTCACTTTGAAGGCATGTTTGACCCGACATGCATTGAAGGCCTGGCGAGAACCCTGGCATATATTACGCGGCTGTGAAAAATACAACATTGTACTTAGTTCAGAGGATGTCACGACATACTTCACATATCATGCCCCAAAAATCAACATTACCCCTGACCTCTGTTAATTTGCAAAATTTATTTTGTCGGTCTGCGAAACTCCATGTTGCCTCTTGCAATCAGGCAATAATTCTATAACATTATTAATTTAACTAGACATGCATGTGCTTACACTTGGCCTAATATCTTCGAGCTTGCAGCACATGTTATTGTTGGCTTTTCGCTGAGCTTGGATCCAGCGATGTTGAGAGTTGTCAACGTCGGACATGGATCGTGCAAACGTTGTCAAGAACGAAACTATAGATCTCTGCTTTACCTGAGAATATACGTCAATGATTACCAGCTGGGGAAACAAATGCATGTCCATGAATGAAAACTTCACCCACGATGAGCTACACTACATGAGTAGCAAGCTGCAAAGATAGCCAATGACTGTAGCATTTAACTGTTACCTAATATTATCAGGAGTGTATATAATATATATATATCTATATTAGATATCTAATCTATCGATAGATAGATAAATAGATAATCTATATTTTACTCCCCTGATATCATCTCACCTCCAACTGTTCCTCGTACGGCGTATTCCACAGCGGGGTCAATCTCTCCTTGACCTGATCCTCCAGCGAGGATGACTCATCAACCTCTGCTCGTTTTCCCTGCGTGTGGCCCCCCTTGTTCGTCGTCACTCTCTGCCTCTTGACAGACTGGTTACCACCATCATCATTCGTGTCCTCCTGCCTTCTCTTCACGATCGGGTCGACCTTTGCATTTGCTATCTAAGCAGATGCAGAGACAGGGGCAGTTATAGATGTTTTGAGCTCAATTGTGTACAATATAGCATAGTGTAAATACCATCACATTGTGTGAAGACATGCTTGAAACGTTTACTTACCTTGACGCGAAAAGTACATCCTTTCCAGACGTGGCCGTTTAGCTTTTTAATTGCTTCCTGTCTGTCCTCTTCGCACCTTTAAAAAAAACCCACGCCTTACAGACTCATGTAATGAGTATGCACAGACTAATTTCTCTTTTCTTCTATGATAACAACTGCAGGGCTCCTTAAAATAATATAAAACTCCAGCCTAAATTAAATAAATTTTTATGAAAGCGAGTCTGCTCTGCTTAAAATACAAAATATTTTGTCTTGTAAACTTTCACTGAATCGATGGAAGAAAGCAGATATAGAATGAATTGCGCAATAACAGAACAGTCGTGACCAGTCTCATGAGATTGCCGACTCGAACCATGATCCCTGTAGATGTGAAATGGTGTGTGCTATCAATTTGGGCACATGTCTGCCCTCTACATTTCTGTTTTTGTTTCCGTTGTAGTACGTTGCAGTATCCAAATTTGGCATCAAGGCAACGGAAGTTCGAGTTAACTTTTTCCATACTCTATCTATATTTGGCATGGGTCTGTGTTGTCTGCTTGGGATCACTCACCTGAAGGTCACGAAGCAGTAGCTAGGGCCCGTAGCACGCATGGATTTCACTTTGACTGGCTTCAGACCTTGATTGGTAATCCTCTTCTTCAATTGCTAAATGCATAATATGAAGACATGCAATAGAGATTCATCATGCAAGGAGGGACAATTAGAATAAGGTGCCTTACCTGGCAACAAGGTTGATGTAATGACATTTAGAAGTTTAGCAAGCGAGCGGAGGGCCGGTAAACAGGAAACCCAATTATCTCACCAAAATTTACTAACTCTCTCGAACTTCCTATGTTGTTCGAACAATTATGAAATTTAAACATTTACTACTAAATTGACATCATAATGAGCCTCATTAATTTCGATAAGTTACAAATCTGTAACACACTGGTTGGTAGCAAGTCATGCACTATCGACTGTGCTATCGCTTGCTCTATCTCCATATAAAAATGGATTGTTATGATAAGAGGAAGTGTAAGTCAACTCACACTGTGCCCAAAATACTTGGGTAAGTTTTGGATCTCAATTTTGTAGATCTCCGAAGTGAACAGCCCTGCCCGGCCATCGACGTACGTTGACGTATTCTTTTCGCAATTGTCTGTATCGCCATCTGCCATATTGCCTTCTCTGGTAATTGCCTCCATGGCTTCATCTTCCTCATTTACACAACCCAGAGTGGCCTGATTACCCTCCGCCTCTGTGTCTGCCACAATGGCATGAGCCTTCTCCTCATCCTTGTCCTCCTGTCCTTCTCCCATTTTAGCTTCAGAGGTGTAGTCTTCTTTTTTCACATCAAGGATGTTGGTCTTATCCTCCTCTTCCTTTGCACCCACCATGATGCACTGACTTTGTGCCACTATGTCAGGGGGCCTAATAGTAATACTAGATTCAGCTTCCGGACGACCTAAGGCAACTTGGGAATCTTTGTCCTCATTCATTGTGGTAATGAAATCAATATGCTAAAAAAATTATATACATTTGTGGAAATTTCCAGTATACTGTATATAGTATTATAATAGTATTAGTATTTCATACTCATAGCTCTAGCATTGCACAGTGCATGGTGCCTGGTGCACAGGCGCTTGGAGCGTTTCAATAAAATATAATGCTAAATAAAAATGCTCTCTATTTACTACTAAAGTCTTAATGTTTCTATACTCTCTTTCACCTATTATTGCCGACAATTTCCTGCAAATGCCGTCCAAATGCTCATCTGCAACAAACGCTGGCTGCCGCTGCACACTGACACATAAATTAAATATATATAGCCAATGACACTATATATTTACAGAGTGGCTATATGCCTGGCAGCCGGCATATATCTGACGGCTGCCAGGCACGGTCTTCGATTTCCTAAATGCCCGGCAGTTTTTAATTTCCAGCGTTATCTCAAGTAAACAAGGGTTAGGGTTAGGAACTGCCGGGCATTTAGGAAATCGAAGACCGTGCCCGGCTGCCGGGCATATAGCCACAGCGATATATTTATGTGTCAGTGTGGCTGATAGGGTCTATGTCCCCCAGGGTACTGCCGGAACGTACCCTGGGTAACAGGCTTTCATTTTTAAGGGGCGCGATCGCGCTCGCGCTCCACCGCGCACCCGAAATTGTGCCATGGTGCGCGCATCATCGCGCCTCATAAAAGTGGTTGAAATCGCGCACCAAAATTATGTCTATTACGCTCCATAGAGTTCTCAATGTAGGGGGTACAAAAAGGTTAGCAACACACAACAATTTGTGGTGTGTAAGTAACTGAACGTATGGCAGAGGTACAGGTCTGGTTACTACCCTCTGGTTTATATATATATATAAATACAACTAAACAACAGCATCCAAATACAGGTACCACAAGTTACCTGCTCGTTTTCTACTATACGTGACGAGAAGTGGTTTTCTGCCGACGTGAAACAGTCGTAGGGCTGGAGGGGCTACATACGTGGCTACTACGTACAAGTAATTTGGCTAGTTTGTTGATGGATTGTGATGATATTTTGTGCTGAAATATGCAGGTACATGGATTAGAATCTCTAAGGATGGAAATCAGAATAAATAAAACAAGTTTATTTCTACATTCGATCAACTCTTTTATTAATCTATGTGCTAGAGTTGGGTTGTTGGATGAAAAAAATGTAATCCTGACAAAGCCATTGAATGAATGAAGGTGAAGATGAATGATAATCAGTAGATTGACATGACATCCCAATTTTCGTTTTGGATTTCACTCTAGCCCTCAAGGAGCTCTCCATCATCCCTTTTAAAGGTGTGATTTTTAGTGGAGCTCTCCATCATGCCTCTTAAGGGTGTGATTTTTTAGTGGAGCTCTCCATCATGCCTCTTAAGGGTGTGATTTTTTAGTGGAGCTCTCCATCATGACTCTTAAGGGTGTGATTATGGAGCGTGAAAAGTCCCCCTATGGTGTCCTAGGGGAGTCATTAGTAGTCCTCCTGTACTTTTCAAATCTGAAAGCCTGGGGTAAGGTCCGGTATACCGCAACGTACCCTGGTAACTATCTAATATGCCGGACCGTACCTCGCCTACTCCAAACCGTAACCTGACTTTCAGCCAATGTCGTAATACAAACCGCTTGTGGGCAGGAAACGCGCCGCTTTATGCTCCCGTTCCTTGTTTCCGGTCCGTTCCCGCAAAATATTCGTAACCCTTAACCTGTTACGTTTCAACTTTCACCTCCCGACCCTTTCTACAAGTGTCAGCGAGTCTATACGTTTCCAACCCATTAAGATAATCATACAAATTTTCCTGTTCCACCACAACACTTTGAGCCATCTTTCAAAAATTTCGCGCGAAAATGCGCGAAAATGTCGTAAGCATTGCAAAAGGAAAACGCATTCCCGATCATCGCGATATTTGCAAAAGGATTGCGCGCATCAGTGTATATAGGTTGAAATTTCTTCTTGGTTTCACAGTTTCATACTCCAATCCAACTTTATAAAGATATCATACAGGTCTGTATGTATATTTCAAATTTTGCGACATCAGTAGTGGGCGGAAAAGGGAGGCAGGGTACGATAGGGAGTAAGCGAGGTACGGTCCGGCATATCAGATAGTTACCAGGGTACGTTCCGGCAGTACCCTGGGGGACATAGAGTCGCCTATCTGGCTATCAGCGTCAGTGTGCAGCGGCAGCCAGCGTTTGTTGCAGATGATCGAGCATTTGGACGGCATTTGCAGGAAATTGTCGGCAATAACAGGTGAAAGAGAGTATAGAAACATTAAGACTTTGGCAGTAAATAGATTTCGTATTTATTTATCATTATATTTTATTGAAACGCTCCAAGTCCAAGTGCGTGTGGCCTGGAGTGGAGGGTGGTAGCAGGGTAGGTATTGTAGGTATTGAGTATTGGTGTATTGGTGTGTATTGGTGTATTGGGAGTATTGGTGTGCCAGTATTGGTGCCTGTGGCTGTTGTACACTAGCCATTGCGCAGCAACAAGTTACCCTTTCGCTTCACACTACGTGGCATGAAAAAGTCAGGAACGAGACGATACGCGTAAGAAATATAATACCTAAATTAACTTATGTGTATATTGAATTCGGATTATTATTCATTCATATGCGATCGCTAAACTCAACTTACTCGTAAACTTACCACAGCGTGTTACCGGCCAGAGGCACTTGAAGCGTTTCAATAAAATATATAGGGGCCTACGCAGGGGTCGTGTGCTGTGCACGGCGACAGTTAAATGGTGGAAATCCACTTTAGGCACCTTAGGTATCACCTATGGTATCACGAAGTGATGCACAGATTTCTGTGTATTAGCTATTACCCACTCATGCACAGACTTTCCTTATAATTATATATAATATATCAAGGATTCATGCACAAATGTTTAACTGCCCACATAGCCATGCTTTAAAGCGCCACCTCTCGGACAAAAATACTACTATTATACCACTAAAAATTATGTTGTGTATTTTTATTTGTATTATATGATTTATTATTAATTAAACTATTAATTACTAATTACCAATTACACTATTGTTTATTAAGTACACTATTAATTACTAATTACATTGTTAATTACTAATTACACTATTAATTACGAGAGAGGAAGATGAAGCCATGATGGTTAGAGGGAGAGAGGAAGCCGTGATGGTTAGAGGGAGAGAGGAAGCCGTGATGGTTAGAGAGAGAGGAAGCCATGAGGGTTAGAGGGAGAGAGGAAGCCATGATGGTTAGAGGGAGAGAGGAAGCCATGATGGTTAGAGGGAGAGAGGAAGCCATGATGGTTAGAGGGAGAGAGGAAGCCGTGATGGTTAGAGGGAGAGAGGAAGCCATGAGGGTTAGAGGGAGAGAGGAAGCCATGATGGTTAGAGGGAGAGAGGAAGCCGTGATGGTTAGAGGGAGAGAGGAAGCCATGATGGTTAGAGGGAGAGAGGAAGCCGTGATGGTTAGAGGGAAAGAGGAAGCCGTTATGGTTAGAGGGAGAGAGGAAGCCGTGATGGTTAGAGGGAGAGAGGAAGCCGTGATCGTTAGAGGGAGAGAGGAAGCCATAATGGTTAGAGGGAGAGAGGAAGCCGTGATGGTTAGAGGGAGAGAGGAAGCCATGAGGGTTAGAGGGAGAGAGGAAGCCATGATGGTTAGAGGGAGAGAGGAAGCCATGAGGGTTAGAGGGAGAGAGGAAGCCATGAGGGTTAGAGAGAGAGAGAGGAAGCCGTGATGGTTAGAGAGAGAGAGGAAGCCATGAGGGTTAGAGAGAGAGGAAGCCATGAGGGTTAGAGAGAGAGGAAGCCATGAGGGTTAGAGAGAGAGGAAGCCATGAGGGT